TCAACCTCTGTATATCTTTCACTGACTTCGGCGGTTCCATGTCCGCGATTGCTCTAATCTTCTCCGGATTGACCTCAATCCCTCTCCGAGAAACCATGAAGCCCAGGAATTTTCCAGACTCCACGCCAAAGATGCATTTGGCTGGGTTTAACCTCATTCTATTCTGTCTGAGATTGTTGAATGTCTCCTCAAGGTCGGTTAAGTGATCGTCAGCTTTCAAACTCTTCACCACTATATCATCAACATAAACTTCCAGATTCCGTCCTATCTGAGCTCGGAATACGATGGTAACCATCTTCTAGTAAGTGGCACCTACGATCTTCAAGCCGAAGGGCATCATTACATAGCAATAAATCTCATCGCCAGCATAGAAGGAGGTTTTTTCTTCATCCTCAGGAGCCATTGGGACCTGGTGGTAGCCTGAGTATGCATCCAAGAGACTTAATCTCTCATTTCCCGAAGCTGCCTCAACCAGCTTATCAATGTTTGGCATTGGATAACAGTCCTTTGGACATGCATCGTTGAGGTTAGTGTAATCAATGCACATCCGCCATTTACCGTTCGCCTTTTTCACCAACACCGGATTGGCGACCCACTCACAGTAATCGACCCTTCTGACAAAGCCAGCTTGCAAGAGTTTCTCGACTTCTTCTTTAATAACTGTTAACCTCTCCCCCCCGAAGAGGTGTCGCTTCTGGGCTACTGGTTTCTTGAGGGGATTGGTGCTGAGTTTATGTTGAAAAACTGAAGTGGGAATTCCCGGCATATCTGCTAAAGTCCATGCAAAAACATCTTTATTGGCCCGAAGAAAAGCTATTAGCTCTGCTCTTTCTTTCGGGTTCAATTTAGTCCCAATTTGCGTTTTCCGGTTCAGATCTCTATCATCAATCAGTACCTCCTCCACATCTTCAACTGGAGCAGCTCTGGTTTCATCTTCTGGTCGGTTATTCACTATTTCAACACCCATAACTTGCCAATCATCAGGAATCTGTTTGTGATTAATCTCGGGTGTCTGAGCCTTGCCCTTCAGAGGTTGTGTTACTGAGGTGATATAGCAATGCCGGGCCACCTCCTGGTTTCCTCGCAGCGTTGCTATTCCCGTAGGAGTTGGGAACTTCATGCATAGATGAGATTGGGAAACCACAGCTCGGATTTCAGTTAGTGTGGGTCACCCAATGACGACATTGAATGAGGACGCCATCTTGACTACCAGAAACCTGACTGAAAGGGTCACATAACTGCGGCCACTTCCAAATGCAACATTCATGGTGAGGACTCCTTCAACTGGAACTAGTTGGTTGTTGAACTCGTAGATGGGACCATCATACCGCTGCAACAAAGTTGGATCTAACCCAAGGCTCTCAAAACAATGGAAGTACATGATGTCTGGTGCACTCCCTGTGTCAACAAGGACACGCTGCACCTCACAATTGTTGATTGTGACAGAAGTGACTAGAGGATCATTGTGAGGTGTGAGAACTGTTTCAAGATCAGCAGATGTGAAAGTGATGGGTTGATGCTTCCACTCAGCATCGTCAAATTTTCGCTTCTGAGTTCGGTTCTGGTGCTTAACCTCTCTGACATACAACTTTCGCTGCTTAGAGCTCAGTCCACCTGCTTCCAGACCTCCCGTAATCATGTGTATGACTCTAGCTGGTGGTGGGGCTTGCTGATATCCCACACCTTGCCTGTTTAAGGGATTGCGGACTCCTTGATGCTATGGCCCCTGTTCTCTGACAAACCGTGGCTGTTCCACTCTCTGGATGTACTCATTCAACATTCCTTTCTGCGCAAGACTTTCCAGCTCGGACCTCAGACTATTGCATTGCTCTGTTGTATGACCGTGATCTTGATGAAAATCACAATACTTAGTATGGTCTCTGGTAACAGCAGCAGTTCTCATTGGACCTGGACGTCTTAAGTCCATCTTATTCTTAATCTACATAAAGATTTGTGACCTCGGCAAATTAAAAGAAGTCCAATTAACTGGGGGTTTACCTGCGGGTTGTTGTGCTGAGTTCGGCCGTTCGAATCTCGGGGTGGAGGTCGACATCGGACCTCGGTTCGGTGATGCCCTCAGCCGTTTCCTGTTCGGATTCTCATCTCTCCAGTCCGAGTGTCGGTTCTTAAGAGGAGTTAGGTTCTGCGACAGGGCATATTCCTTAACAGTTATGAATTTCAGCGATCTATCATTTACCTCGCTGAAGGTTTTCGAAGGATGTTTGAGCAGACTATCTCGGAATCTCTCATGGCTAAGACCTGAGATCACAACTGTAATTCCTACAGCTTGGTCGAAAGAGTTAACCTCCAGTACTGCATCATTGAATCTGCTCATAAAATTCTTCAAAGACTCTCCGTCCCTCTGCTTAACTCGCATCAGCTCAAAAGTGGTTTTCCTGATCAATCTTCTACTGGAAAACTTTGTGGCAAAAGCAGATGCCATTTCTGTGTAAGAGTTGATTGACCTCGGAGGCAGACTGTAGTACCAGGTTCGAGCATTACCTCGAAGGGTAGAGGGAAAGATTTTGCACATTAACGCATCAGAGGCGTTCTTGGCTTGCATGCAAGAGTAGAAAGCATGTAGATGATCAACAGGGTCCTTCGTCCCATCATAAGTTTTAAGCTGTGGTATTCTGAAGCCAGCGGGATAGGGTTCCAGTATAATGTTGGTGTTGAGAGGATGGGGCACGGAGTCAGTAGCAGGGTGCGGGGGTGGGGCACCGCGCTGGTCAACCACTAGCTTTTCTAAGCTATCTAGACGTCGAGTGACATCACCATGAAAGGGTTGCTGAACTGGCGCAAAGTGAGATTGGCCTTGAGATTCACTAATAGCCGGAGCATGCTGAATTGGTTCAGGATTTTGTGGTGGGGCTGGAGGTTGTGGAGCAGGATTAAGTAGGTTAATGAGTGGATAACCAGGATTATTCCAGGCCAATAATTGTGCCAGTACTGACTGAAAGACACCAAACTGCTGTTGCATGGCAGTGAGCTGAGTTGCAACTACGCCTTGGTTAGCAGTAGAAGCTTAGTTGTGAACCGAATTGTGTGGTTGATTTTCATCTTCTCCTTCTGCATGATCAACAGGAGCGAACGTATTTGGGATTGGGGGTGGGGGATGAGGCGGAAGGTTGCTGGGGACCTGGCCTCGTCCAAGAGGCTGAGACGAGTTTCCACCTTGGGCTGACCTAGTTTTAACCATAATAAGAGCAATAAGGGAGCCTTTAGTTCAGATTCCCACAGACGGTGCCAAAATGTAACTGCACCAAACCATAAGTCCTTCTTTAGTCCGGATCTGCACTCTGAATTGACCTGCAAAGCCCCGAGGTGGATCCTCGGGGTAGACACTCCAATGCTTAAGTCAGCAATAATCGGGGCTACCTTTAGAGCGGAGGAACAAGGAGCTTAGGGCTGGTTTCAATTACCTTTTGGTGTGACCCTTAAGGAGTATTTATATGTTCCGATGAAGAGTCCACGCGGCATGCCAAACAAGATGCCAAGCAAGATATCTGGGATCCGATGTGTATCTCCAGGCAGTTATTTCGGGACCGGGAGATTGAGCCAAGCAAGATATTCGGAATTTGATGTTTATCTCCAAGCAGTTATTTCGGGACCGGGAGATTGAGATATGCGAGGATGTCCATCGTAACAGCTATGTAGCTATTCGAGCGGGAAGCTCTGGATTTACTCTTCACTTCAGTTGTGAAGAAATTACTGTCGTCCGTCCGAGGTTGGGCACCTCGGACCTGCTCTTACACCCGGAGGAATGAGGAATCTGGAATCTTAAGAATTAAGATTGAAAGCCAATAAACAAAGACAATAATAAAATGTGGTGCACACGTTAGCGCGTGCGGCGGAGGAATGAGGGATCTTAAGAATTAAGATTGAAGGCCAAGAAACAAAGACAATAATAAAATGCGGTGCACACGTTAGCGCGTGCGGATAGCGATAGACGAGCTTATCAGGGCTTTATTGTTGTTCTAGATTAGATAAAAAGACAAGTCCTGTTTCTGACAAGTGGCAAGCAAGATTAATTGCATGGCCATTGCGGGGCCAACATTGCATGCAAGTGGAATCCACTTCAGAATAAATGACCAGTCAAAATATAATATACTTTCCAAATTAAACTATACATTATTTTAAATTTATAAAATGTATCACTTTAGTTTTAGTTAATTTTTTTTTAATTTATAGTTAGAGTGAATCTAAATTAATTTTTACACTAAAATTTAATCTTCATATGTAACATAAAATTCTTTTCGTACTTCATACCTTTATATTTAAACAAGAAAATTATGTTTGAATGATAAATAATAAAGAACATATATAAGATAAAGAAATAGAAAACTATTTCCAAGCATAAAGTGAAGAAACAAAGATAAATACTTAAGTTTGAATTTAATTTACCCCTCACAATAAGACAAAACTATGCTGATAAAAAAAAAAACAATAAGACAAAACTAGAAAGAGTTACTGAAAACAAATTGCAATTTTTTTTAGTAATTACATTAACACCAGTTAAAGGAAGTTCGTAAACAGCTCTAATTCTTCCATGCAGGAAAAAAAAAAAAAAGGGGGGGAAAGAGTCCAGGTTCTACACGCATAAAAGAACCTAGAATTTCTATTTTTAAATTGTTGTTTTATAAAATGTTTTAATATTAACAGCTCTGATGTTATATGGTTAAAATCAATTTTTAATCTCTCATTTTACAAAATTAGTAGATTTTAACCTTTAACTTTATAATATAATACTTTTAGTCTCTTACCTTACAAAGTGAGTAGGTTTTAATCTTTTACCTTACAAAATTAATAGGTTTTAGCCCATCACCTTATATTATGATATTTTTAATTTTTTATCTGTACGAATTAAAAAAATAATCCTTACTTAACATTAGGTTATAATATTTTGTTAGTTCTGTTAACTGACTGTTAACATCCGTTCGTATTCTATTAATGGAATTAACAAATAAAATTGAATTTAAATTTTATGTTTTTTATAATAAAATGCTAACGGATGTTAACAGTCAGTTAGTAAAACTAATAGAATGTTATAACCTAATGTTAAGTGAGTCGTATAGGTGAGAGGTTAAAAATGTTATAATATAATGTGATGGGTTACAACTTACCAACTTTATAAGGTGAGGAGTTAAAACTTATAAACTTTGTAAGGTAAAAGGTTAAAAGTATCATATTATAAGATGAGGGACTAAAACTTATAAATTTCATAAAGTAAAGGGCTCAATGATAGTTTTTGCCGATGTTATAGAGGCTACGTTGTTTCCAAAGCAGCGGCAAGTCGAGTGAAACATCAGTATCGTCAGTTTTTTTTGACAAAATAATCGTATCATTAGAACCACTCCATTTTCTTGTTACCTTTGACACTTTTTTTAGGTTATATCCCCGATTCAGTCCCTCAACTTTCATTTTTGGACTAAAACTACCCTAAAACTTCAAAAAATACTAAAAAAATCCTTGAACTTCAATTTTCGGGACCAATTTCGTCCTTCCGTCGACGGAAGTGCCAGATGGCACGTTAAGTTGCCACGAAATCAA